TGTTCGTCTGTGTAGAATACTTGCCTAGCATGCACGAGGCCCTGGGTTTCAGCACTGGCCCTGTCCCCACAGGCTCATGTGTTGTAGGCTTGGATCCCAATGCAGCCATGTTCAGAGGTGGGGCTTTGGGAAGTGATTGAACCCTGATGGCTCTGACTTAATGAGTGGATTAATCCACTGATGGATTCATAATTTGATGGGCTATTGAGAAGTGGTGGAAACTTAGGAGGAGGGTGCTCGATGAAGGGAGCCGGTTCTTGGGGACCATATCTTGTCCCTGGCCTCTGCTTCCTGGCTGCCGGGGGATGAGTAGCTCTGCCCCACTACGCCCTTCCTGTCCTGATGCTCTGCCTCCCCACAGGCCCAGAAACACAGAGCCAAGTGATTGTGGACTGAAACCTCTGAAACTGTGAGCCAAAATAAACCTTTCCTCCTTTCATTTGATTCCCTCAGTTATTTTGTCACAGTGGTGGAAAGCTAACACACCATCCTTCACACAGCAGCCAACCAGGCTTTACAGAGGTCTTTTTTCCCAGTGGAACCATTTCAAGGCCTCCCATTATGTCCAGAATAAAAAACAGACTTCCTGCAGTGGCCCCAGGGGCCTCTCCCATAAGGACTTCATCTCCCTCGACTCTCTTCTTGGTCCCCAGGTTGCTCCCTCTTGCTGACCTTGAAGGCACCAAACACTGGCAAGTATTCCTGCCACCAAGTGCATCATTCCCTCCATGAAGCACCACGTGCACAGCTGATGTCCCATCAACACAAGTGACTTATTGCCAACCTCCTTCCTCCCTAATTTGTGCCAGTGGGGTGGGGAGTCACGGAATTGGATCCAACAGTTTGCTTCCCTCCAGGAGCTCAGTCTAGATCTGCTTTGGGTCACCTCAAGTCAGAGAAAGGCAGGCTATGAGGGAGGAAGGAAGGTCCATTTTGCCCTCATGACCACATGGTGTATGGGTTCTATCCATGGCCCCCTAACTTCCCAACAAGGAAAAGGCTGCCAAGCGTGACGTAGCTCACCTAGGCCTCCTGGTCAGATCTTCTGACTGCAGGCTGTGCTTTTCTCAGGAGAACAGTAGCCCCTCCCCGGGATACAAAATGGGGTATAAACTCTCTGGGGAGACACAGACTAGTCACCAGAGAGCTGGACCTGCTGAGCAAAGGGATGGAGGGACTGTGCGCTTGCGCACTTACTCCTGGCCCTGGAACATGCCTGCTCGTCTGAGTTGGCACACTTTGGTCCCTTTGCTTGTGCATTTTCAAGGCCTGTTCTACAGCTCTGTCGAAGGTCTCTCGGCAGCCAGACGCTCACGTTCCCTGGGTCCTTGACTACCAGGCCAGTGGAAAGAGGAAGGTCTCCAACCAACTACTGAAATGATGAATGGTTGCTGCTAAAGGAGGGACCCAGGTTACAGGGAAGTCCTGGGGAAATGGATCCAAACCAAGGCGCACTCAAACCGATGGAATAAATTTGGGCCCTTCTCCATGTCGACTCTCGTGACCTGTGTGAGCTCTTGTCCTAGAAACCTAACTGGGGGCGACTGGAGATGCAGAAAGGACAAAAGATAGAAGACAAACATGCAGGAAGCTGGGGTCAGGTGTGCTGGGCGCTCAGATGGAGACACACAACAGCCTCGTTACTTCTTTTCTACTTATCTTTGCTTCTTTTCTCTATTCTTTAAAACCTTACTTCTAAAGTCTTCTTTTCTATTCTTTAAAGTCTCTTTCCTTAGACTGTCCCATGTTTCCTCTAATCTCTAGCATAACTCTTAAAGTCTCAGTCCTTAGACTCACAGACACTCAGCAGCCAGCCAGCCTCGAAAGCAGCCCACTGCTTTCATATGCAGCAAACAAGGATTGGGGGGGGCGTGACACTGTAACAGGAGAAACCTGCAATAGCTACTCTCTAAACGTAAACATCTTAGGAAACGCAGCTGTGCTGCATTTTGCCCTCGCCTCCTTCTGCAGCTGGGGCTGTGCCAAGTCAGCCTGTAAATTATTTGACATTCTCATATTCTTCTCATTCTCCTCTCTCCATGGTCAACCACTGGTCTCCAGCCTAAATGAGTCTAAACACGGCTAATGGGAGTGGGGCAGCTGCTGTGGAAAGCAGTTTGGCAGCTCCTCCAATTACACATAGAGTCCGGAGCCAGTGGCTCATGCCTGTAATCCTAGCTCCTTGGGAGACTGAGATCAGGGGGATCACAGTTCGAGGCCAGTCCAGGAAAATAGTTTTTGAGACTCCATCTCCAAAATTACCAGAGGAAAATGGACTAGAGGTGTGGCTCAAGTAGTAGAGCTCCTGCTTTCCAAGAGTGAAGCCCTGAGTTCAAACCTCAGTCCTACACACACACAAAAAACTTAACTTGAAGCTGTGAGTATAGCTCAGTGGTAGAGTGTGTGCCTTAGTATGTTTGAGCACTGGGTTCAATCTCAAGCATCACCTTATTTATTTGTTTTTTGATATGTTGATTTGCTTATTTGCTTTTTAAGACAAGGCCTCAATATGTAGCCCAGGTCTGGAACTCAAAATCCTCCTGCTGCCACCCCCTGAGTGCTGGGATTATAAGACTGTGCCACCACACCTGGCCCTCAGTGACATGTAAAAAAAATTTTAAAGGCCAGGTGTGGTTGCCAACACCTATAATCTCAGCATTTGAGAGATTGAGACAGAAGAATCTCTAGTTTGAGACCAGCCTGGGCTACTTAGGGGAGACCCTGTCCCAAAAAAACAAAAAGAAAAAGTTAATTTTATGTTATATGAATTTCACCTCAAATACAAAATAAAACCAACACAGACATGTTATAAAACAGAATGGAGGACTTGCCTGAGCTTTTACCAGTGGCAGACTTCCAGGGCTCTGCCCTCCCCTAATGCAGCTGGAACTCTTGGCTGAGGAGGCTGAGGGATACACAGAGACAGGAGGAGGTGGAAACTCCAGTGGCTGCCCAGGTCAGCCTCCTGGGCACGGAAGATGGTCTTGAGGGTTCCAGTGCCCAGGCTGCACTGAGCCTGGGGCCTTTTGGGGCCAGTGTCCTTTGCTCCGTCCTGCTTCTGCGCCCTAACTGGCCTCTGCTTTCTTTTCTGCTGGCCCTTGCCTGCACTTGGACTGCCCTTCCTACTGCATCCACCCCTGCCTGCCCAGCCTTGCATCCTTCTCATGGACCTGCTGCCTGTCTCAGCATCCAGGCCTCTCTTGGTCAGACTCAGCTGCTCTAACAAAGCACCATACAACAGAAATGTATTTCTCCTGCTCTGAGGATCTGGTGAGGGCCCCCCACCCCAAGCTGCAGACTGCTAATGTCTAGTTGCCTGCCTCCCATGGCAGAAAGAGGGCAAGAGAGCTCTCTGGGGTGTCTTTATAAGGACACCAATCCTATTCATGAGGGCTCCACCCTCAGGACCTAGTCACCTCCTAAAATCCCCACTTCTTTTAAGGGAGGCAGTAATGGGATTTGAACTCAGGGCTTCATGCTCACTAGGCAAGTGCTCTACCACTTGGTTGTGACCCAGCCCTTTTTATTTTGGTTATTTCTCAGATAGAGTTGCATTTTTGTCTAGGGCCAGGCTGGATCTTGATTCTCCTAATTATGCCTCCCTCATAGCAGAGATGACAAGTGACAGTCACTACACCTGGCTTTATTGGTTGAGATGGGTTCTTGCTAACATTTTTCCCAGGATGGCCTCACACCTGGATCCTCCTGATCTTTACTTCCCAAGTAGTTGGGATTACAGGTATGTGTTATCATGCCTGACTCAGGCCCCATCTCTTAATATAGGATTCCGTTAGGCTGGGAGGGGGTAGGAATTAAGTGAACATGCCCCTAGAGGAAGGATGGATCACTTCAGCTGTTCATCAGCCTGCTGGGGCTGCCTGCAGGCAGCTGCTGGATAACTTTCCTGCTTTAACCAACACTACTTTGACAAATATTTTCTTCCTTCAGTGATGGAGTGGACTGGGACTGGTGTTTTGCACACCCCAAAAGGTCTAGCTATATTGTTCACAGGAGAGGTTTTTTTGTTTTGTTTTTTGTTTTTTGATGGCTCTGGGGTTTGAACTCAGTGCAATCTACCACTTGAGCCACTCCACCAATCCTTTTCTTTGTGATGGGTTTTTTCAAGATAGGGTCTTGCAAACTAGTTGCCCAGGCTGACTTCGAACTGGGATCCTGATCTCTGCCTCCTGAGTAGCTAGGATTACAGGCATGAGCCACCAGCACCTAGCTGAGAAACTTGAGTCTTTTGAACCCAGACTCCGGCCTGGAACAATCCCTTCACTACAACCCCAGACTCGCCCTGCCTCAAGGTGTCCTACAGCCTCCTTTGCTCACATAGTGACAGTCTGATTCACCATTCTTCATATTCCTTTTGGGCTGGGAGCTCACCAGAGGGGTCCTGGGGGAAAGATGTGAAGGAAGGGAGGCCAGGGCTAGAGGTATGGTTCAAGCAGAAGAGCACTTGCTTTGTAAGCATGAAGCCCTGAGTTCAAACCCTAGTCTCACCAAAAACAACAACAACAAAAAACAACTTTTGGGGGCTGGTGGAGTGGCTCAAGTGGTAGAGCGCCTGCCTAGCAAGTGTGAGGCCCTGAGTTCAAACCCCAGTGTCGTCAAAAAAAAAAAAACAGCCAGCATGGTCTTGACAATGACCTGCAGATGAGGAGACCAAGGCTGGGGCTGGGGGCAGAGGGACTTCATGTTCTCACTCAGTCCTCACCACCGTGGTTTGACTGTGGCGTCTCCACCTTGTAGAGAACTGCCAATATAGCGTGACCCATCCGTGCATTCCCTGCGCACCCATTCGTTCTGAACATTCTTACTGAATGTGAAATTTGGGAAGATTTTATTAAGTTTTCTTGTTGTTGGGACAACCCACCCTGCTTCTCCTGCCGCTCAGCCGGGATGTGAACACTGACCACTGCAGACCCCAGGGCCAGCCAGGGGGAAGAGACTGCTGCCTAGGGGTGGGGCTCATCTTAGCCCCGGAGCTTGCTGGATTACACCTCAGCCCTGTCCAGAGGTGGCCCCCGGTTCACAGATGTGTAGGAAGGCTCTGAGGTCCCCAGGGGGTTGGGGACAGTCTCCTGTATGACCTGAGAGTCATGCGTTGTTTCACCATCAGAATTGCCCGTGTCCCTGGCCAAGGGGATAGAGAGAGCCTGGGTTAGGGGAGCAGAGCAAACCCAAATTCCCCCCTCCAGCTGGTTGGTCTAACACTTAGACATTGCTTTCACAGATGTTGCCTCAAGAACAGGATGGACAAGTCCACGTGGGAGCCCCAGGAAGGCTTTCTGGGGCGAGGTGACAGTAATCTGGTCCTGGAGCAGGGGCAGGGCAGAGAGAGCTCATGGGGTGTGAGATGGGGTGTTCAGTGCAGCCAAGCAGGGTGGGGAGCACAGGTGAGGAGGTGGGAGGGATGCATGGGAGAGCTGGGAGGATGGGGCCTGCGGTGACACACTGTGCTGCTGCCCTGAGGGAGGGACTGACTGCTCTGCTTGCAGGTCCAGCCAGGTAGTGTGTTTTTGGAGGCTGCTGTCATCTATTATTGGTGTTTTGTCAACGTGAATGTCAGAAGACAACCTGATTTCACTGCTCCCCTCCCCAGCTCCATGCTGTGCCCTCTTTCCCACATGGCTAGTTTCGTGTTCCCAGTTAATTTTACATTCTCAGAGAAGTTTTCCTACCTTCTCCCCTCACCCTCTTGGGGACTGGTCTCCATCTTGGAAACCCATGGGGCTCCCAAAGCCTAGCACCAGATAATTCTGCTCTTGTCAACCCCTCCTCTAGGAAGCCCACCCTGAAGCTCCAGGCAGGGCCTGCCTTGATTCATGCTCTGCTCTATTCTCCCAGGTTAGTGGAGTCAGGAGACCTGGGTTCTAGACCAGGTCAGGCTCTAGTTCCAGGCTGTGACCTTAGGGCTCTCCCCCCGCCATCCCTTACCATCTCACCACCTGAACTGAAGTAGATGAATTATGACAACAAAAGATGATGGTTGAGATCCCAGGCCCTGCCCTGAGGGCTTTGTGGAGGTAATTCCACATAACTCTAGGGGTGAGTAACATTTATCATCTGTTTTCCAGAGGGGAAACTGAGGTCTACAAGGATAGCCTGCTATGTCCAAGGTTGCACAACTGTACATGTCAGAGCTCAGATTCGTCTCCTTACTGCAGTGCTTCAGGTCAAACCCAGGGCCTCCTTCATGCTACACAAATACCTCGCCACTGAGCCATAACCCTGTCCAAAGCTGAGCTCTGAAAGGGCCATCTGCTCAGAGCCGGGGCTGAGCCCCTCTTTCCCGAGCCCCTCCCTCCCAGGCTGAAAGATAGGACCTTGAAGTCCAAGGGTACCCAGGGTGAAAGGCGGCTCCTGCTCCCACCCCAGCTCTGCCTCAAGGACCCAGATGCTGAGTCTCTTCCTGTGTCTCGTGTGTCCCTGGGGTCCAGCCCTTCCAGCTGGCAGGCACTCACACAAAGCTGAGGATGATGGCGCCAGCAAAGCCCACAAGCAGGAAGGAGGACAGGGAACCCAGGATGGACGTGATGACAATCATACTCCCGCTGCGCCGGCCTGGCCATGTGTCGATGACAGAGTAGGGGGTGGCTGCAGAGGACCACAGGCCAGTTACTCACAGACAATGTCCTGCCCTTGGGCGGGCAGGTGGCCCTCCTGCCCTGGCTGCCTAGAATCCAGGGACGAGCCAGGGGCCCCAGGCAGTGGCAGCCACGTCTCCTCCCGGGTTTGCTTGTCCTACCTCTCACTCCCAGCTTTCAAGTGTTTCTGGCCCCTTCTTTTTGTATAGTGTTAAATTCTAACTGACTTGAGTCTCCGGGTGACATGGGTAGGACACATATCATAAGCAATTAAAGTCAAGTAAGGGGCTGGGAAAAGGAGGGTCTAGCAGGCCAGGCCGACTGTGACTTTCACTCTTTTCTAGCTCACATCACCCTTTGGGGACAATGTACAGGTCCTAAAGTGAGCTGCCACTTTGTGGCATTGTCCACATGCAATGCAGGAGTCCCTGTTCTGCAGATCACTTACTGTGGTCCCAGGTGCACGCTGTCCCCAGAGACTGGCCCTTAAGTCCTGCCTCACCAGGGCTGGACCTGGGCTTCCAGCAGGATTCCCAAAGGAACCTCACTGAACTGGGTGAGTGAGAACTCCTCCTCCCATGGCTCAGAACAGGAGACTGAGGTCCTGGAGTGAGGGGCAGAGACCGGGCCTAGGCCTGGTCCAGGAGCCTCCGCCCTAAGGATCTCAAGGCTCTTTCAGTGGCACCGGGATGAGTGGGAAGTCTCCGGAGGGGCAGTAGGGAAGAGGACAGGAGGGGTGACTCAGCCACACACACTCCTGCACACACCCCCCACAGATTCATACCTACATGCCACCCAAACCACACATCACACACAACACACGCCCAGACTCCTGTGCATAACAGACACACATACGCCTACACATTCATTCAGTTATACACACACATCGTTACACAGTCACAAGTTCATACACAACACACAAACCACAGGCACACACCACACACATTCAGGCTCGCATATACATTCAGTCAGACATACTCGCACAGTCACATAGGCTCACACCCCCTCAAACACCACACACCTGCACATCCCTCCCGAGTGTGTGCCCGCCCCTTGGGGTGGCATGGGTGACCGAGTACACTCACACACCGCATCACATGTACTTGAACCACAGAACTAGCGAGCGGTTCTGTCGTGGGGCCAAGTTATGGGGCCAGGGAAGTTCCTATATTGGAGTCACAACTGCCTATGGAAGGAAACCCCTGCGTGGTGCTGACATCCCTTTCTGTAGATGAGTCTGTGTGGATTGGTGGAGTGACTTAAGCTATAGAGTGCCTGCCTAGTAAGCGTAAGGTGTAAAGCTACAAGTTCAAAACCCAGTACCTCCAAAATTAAATAAATAAAAGTCTGTGTGACTCTGGGCTCTCTGCTGAGAACCCAGGTGAAACCCACAGAGGAATTGGCAGCACCTCAGTCCTTACTGTGTTGCTGTCAGGAGCACCGTGGCCCCAGAGGGAATGGGTATGGAGGACAGGCTGGAGGACAGGCTGGGTTCCTCTAACCCACCTCTGCTTAGTTCTCAGCCTCTGGTCCACTCCCATGGTGATGGACCTGTGAGGATCCAGCTAAGAGGCTGACAAGCTGACAAAGCTGACAAGGCCGACAGGCTGACAAGCTGCAAGCCCAGGACAGCTACCGTCCTTTGAGGGAATGCACTGCAGGCTGGAGAAGCCCTTGACCTTGACTTTGGCACACCCACTACCCACTCATCCCAGCTAACTTTCCACCTTGCTCTGGCCCTCATGGATGGACAACAGGGAGGGGACAGTTCAGGTTAAAACCTTCATGGATGGATGATGGGAAGGGGACAGACAGGGAGGGGACAGTTCAGGTTAAAACTATTTTTTTTTTTTGTACTGGGGCTTGAACTCAGGGCCAATACCTTGAGCCACTCCACCAGCCCTTTTTTTGTGACGGGTTTTTCCACGACAGGGTCTCATGAACTATTTGCCCAGGCTGGCTTCAAACCACAATCCTCCTGATCTCTGGCTTCTGAGCAGCTAGGATTACAGGCAAGAGCCACCAGTGCCTGGCATGTTAAAACTATTTTAAGAGGTGTTTTACTCAACAGCCCAATGGCTGGTGTACCCAGGAGGCTTTTTCAAGTGACAGCCTGACTCTCTGCATGATCTGTGCCTAGCCCTACCTTCCGGGGGCCCCTGGAGAATCGCCCCCACTTACGCCAGTTGGTGCGGATGGGGTCTGACCATAGGGTCTGGTCCTGTACCAAGCCTGTGGACATGTTGACCAGGACATACTTGAACCTGGAAGGAGAAGGAGAAAGGCTGACTTCCATCCATTCTGCAAACACCCAGCCTCAGGGAGCAGAAGAAGGCAGGTGTTGGAGAGCCAGCGAGGGGGCACTTTCAGGAGATGGCCACTGAGTGGGCTCTGGACAATAGAAGGATGCTGGATGTGGCCATATATTACCCCCGGGCCCTTCCCCAGATTGGATGCACCGCCTTTGGGAAGCCTTCAGGGTTGGGGGCTGTTCTTCTAGGCGGTCCCTCTGGGAGACCCCTGCTTATTCTATGTAGCACACGTAGTGCACTTGTCCTCCTGGCAATTCTGCCTTCTGCTGTTCCAAGCCTAGTCCCTGGGATCATGAAGGGACTTATAAAAGCAAAGGATAACATCCATCATCAACCAGCTGCTGTTGGGTCAAGGCTACATTTTAGGTACAAGAACTTCCAAAGTGTTGTCATCAGAAAAAAAGGTGGGGTGACATAAAACTATCCACATCTTCTTAAGGTCTCCTAAATAGCCAGTTTAAAATGGCAGATGATCTGAGGACTGAGATGTCTACATCATGTAACTTTTTAACACTTTTTTAAAAAGATCCTAGGGGGTTGGGGGTATAAATCAGTGGAAGGGTACATGCTAGGCCCCAGTACCACACACACTCATACACAAATCAACCCTTAAACCAGGCACAGAGGTGTGCCCGAACCCCAGCACTTGGGAGGCCGAGGCAGAGGGCAGAAAATTTGAGGCCAACCCGGGTTACAAAGAGAGTTCAAGGTCAGCCTTGGCTATGTAGTGAGACCCTGTCCTAAAAGAATAAAACAAAACAAAAACCAAAGGGGTTTTGGGGGGGGGACTCCCCAAATGTGCTGGGCCAGGACCAGCTGCATAATTTGGGGTGCAAAATGTCAAAATATTTAAAATCAAGAATTCCAGGAAGGTGACTGCAGAGCAGTAAGGCAGGCAGGGCCCCTTTCAGCTCTGTGTGCTGCTGCACGTCTAGGAAGTGCACGTCTAGGAAGACACTGCCTGAGGTCGGGGATGGTGCCAGCTCCCGAGCTCTGAATGTGGCTTCTATCATTTTGTCCCCTCCCCCTTGGGTCTTCTAGCCAAAATGTGGCTGCTGCCTTCCCTCCTCAGCTGCTCACACCCACCTGTACGCTGTCGCTGCAGACAAGGGTGGGTTGCAGAGGTCCTGGAAGTTGGGGTCCCACAGACAGGTACTGTTCTTGCCCACCCTGACCAGGTATGCATTCAAGATCTCTGAGGCCTGGGTCACATCCCCGATAGCATCCAGGCTTGGCAGGTCACTGCAAGGGGTCAGGTCAAAGGCCATAGCTTTGTAGGGGCCTGTCCTCCCGCCCCGGGTTTGCTGGAACGTGGAGCTCAGTGGGTTCTTGGCACCATCTTGCACAGAGGCATTCCTGGAGCTGGCTGCAGAGGCAGTGCTGAATGAGGATCCTGGCCGCTCTAGTTCAGCAACACTCACTCGGTCATTCATCAAACGCCCCTGAGCCCTGTTCTCTGCCCCTCTTCTCTGGGCACTGGGGTCACAGACATGGGGCAAGCTCAGTCCCTACTCCTCCAGTGCAATGGGGGAGACGGCTAAGGAGCACCTCCCTGGCTTTGGGTGCTGTGTCTGTCTCTCACCCACCTTATAACATTACTGTAATCCCACTCCAACAGGCCGTTGACACCTATCACTGAGAGCCCTAACTCTCTCTTGGTAAAATGAGAAAGGAGAGTCACATGGTTGTGGGGGATGATGTGGAGGCAGATAGACCTTGTTGGGTCCTGGGTCTCTTTCTTACTAACTAGGTGACCTTGGACAATAACTTACTCTACCTCTATGGACCCCAGACTTCTGAGAAATGGGAGAAAAATACCATATTGTGCCCACAGATTGGGCAAAGGCAGGCAGTCAGGAAGTATTTGCTGAAGACTAAAATGCTGGACAAGTGAGAGGTTGTCATTGGGTTCCTTGGCCTGGAAGCCTAGGATTCCTGCCAGCAAAGGACTGAGGGCTGGCTAGAGGGAGCAGGTCCAAGCAGGGACCAATGCCTGGCTTTATTACCACACAGCCAATCTTGAACCAGCTTGGGAAGCCTCTGGGAGGACTTGGGCCTGAGGGCCAGACAGACCTGGATTGCAGTCCAGTTCTGGATTTGCTGTCCAGTTCTGGATTTGCTGTCCGGTTCTGGGAGGACCAGAACTATTCTACCTTTCCTGCCCACCCCAGCCTCCATTTTCTGCCCCATGAGCTGCTGGAAAAAGAAGTTCTATGGTGTGCAAAGCACCTGGTACTAGGTAAGCAGTTGCTGACTGGTAGCTACTTCCCCCATTAGCCTGGATGCCAGGACAAGGGCAGGTCTGGGAATGCAGCCACCCAGGGCTGATGAAGTTTACCTGAACTACTACAGGGATGGAGCGCTCCTCTATCTCCCTCCTCCCTCTCCCTGTGGGCAGTCAAAGCCCCTTTCACAGGAAAGCAGGACCTTTACCTGAGTCAGCCATGACATAGAGGTAGACCTCGTAGGTGCCAGTGAGCAGCTCTGAGCTGTCAAATATACAGAGAGGCTTTTCCAAGGCTACAGTTGTGAGCGTGGGGTTGTTGGTGGCAAAGGTTATGCTAGCCAGTTGGGGCTGGATGTTCACGGCTAGGGAAGACAATGAGGATAGGAGCTGACCCACGGCACTCTCTGCCCCCCACCCCATGTGTGTTACTGAACGTTCCTCCTCCCTATGAGCCATCGCAGGAACGCGTCTCAGACAAGGGCAGTACCCCTGCCCCCCCACCCTGCCAGTCACTCTGGCTGGAAACCTGGAGGTCTACCAAACTGCTGTTCTCCCTCTCCTTGCATAGCCAAGAACCCCACTGCCCCTCCCAAGTCTATCCACTCCATCTGTCCTCCATCCCTCCTGCTCCCACTTGGGCTCTAGTAATAGGACCCTCTAACATGGAAGTCTGAGCCCCAGCTCTCCCACTTGGCTCTTCCTGGCGCCCCATTGCCCTTCTTGCAGTCCAGTCTCTAGAATGGCAGCAAGGTCCGAAAGTCCGGACTTCGCTTCGTTGAGTCTCCAGACCGACCCCTGAGCACGCTCCCTCACCCATGCTCTCCCCACGAGGATGAACGGCAGATCCCAGGATGGGCCACCCCCACCCCCACCTCAGGACTGACTCCCTCAGCAGGAAATGTCCTTCCCTGTCCCCCAGTCCAGGAGTCAGCGTGAGTCTGGGTCTGGCTCCGTCTCTGCTCTCCCGCAGCGCCTCCCCCGTCCCCCACCTGCCCTGTGTTGGTTGCTCACTTGCGCCATCCATCGCAGGGCTGTAGTCACGGGTGAGCCCTCGGATTCCCGCCAGAGGACGCTCACAGATGTTGGCTATTGCTATTATTACTACTACTAACAATAGTATCTGAGTCCCCAGCACAGGGATGGGTGCCTATTCCTGGAATGAACAAATGAAGTTCACAGCGCCCTCCCCACCCAGGCTGCTCTCGGCCTCCCTGGGAGGGTGAGGGTCCAATCTGCACACGCCGGCCCTGGGCACGACCCCACTCTCTCATCCCCCTCCTCCCCCGCTTACTCAAGCAAAACCGCAGGCAGCCGAGGGCCAGCAGGGCCCAGAGCTGAGGCATCGCCCGGGATCAGCCGCCTGGGCGCAGAGCGGCCGGCGAGCGCGGGCACCCATGCTCCCTCTCCCGCCCCGCGCACCTGCCACCTGCGGCCCTCGGCGCGCCCCGCCCCCGCCTGCGTCCCCGCCGCGCCGGCCAATCCGCGGCCTCCTCGCGGGCTATTTGCATACGGCCCCGCCCCCGGCTCCCACCGCCTGCGCCGAGCGCTGAGCGCCAACCCATCCCCGGTCCCTCCCTGCGCGCTCTCCAAAGCGCCTGCTGCGTGCTGAGCCCCAGCTGGCGCTCTCAGGGCGTCGCAATTAATGGGATCTTGGGACACTCCATCCCCTTTAGGGCTTCAGTTTTTGTTTTGCGGGGGGAGAGGGGTGCGCTAATTCCTACAACTATGGAGTGCGAGTGATTTGTGTGACTTTTTTGGTTCATGGTGCAAAACCAAAACTTAGGGAAGCCAAGGAGCGGTAGGGACCAGGCCAGGGATGCATCAGAAGGAAATGGAACCGGGTGTTAAAGCTGGCTTCCTGAAGGGGCGTTTGAAAATAGTAATGAAGGGGACTGAGGGTGTAGCTAGGTGACAGAACGCTTGGAGAGAGAGAGAGAAAGAGAGAGAGATGGATGGGGTGCTTGTCTGAACTAGATGGCTTCTTTCAGCACCTTAATTGATTTATTTTACATTTAACACGTAAAAGCAAGTCAATAAGGATGGGGGAGGGTAAAATGAAAAAGCAACGAAGTAATGGTTTGCCAAGGTTGACATAGCCACTTGCGGGAAAAGACTATTTATCCGAGTGACTTTGGAATGGTTTCTGGCTGACTCCCTTGGTGGAGAAAATTATAAAAACAAAGGGACCCAAAATAAAACCAGATCCGTAACTGGTGAATTATTGGCAGTGGGGAGAGTGGGCAATTTTGAACTACTGGGGTACTGGGTACCCCGGGACTGGAGTGGTTGGGACCCAGTTTCTCACTATAGGGTGAGGGAGATTTGGAATGGAGGAATGAGAACGCTGTAGTATTTTTGTTTTTATTTTCAATTAGTGACATCTTTAAGAAAAAAACAACTTTTTTACTTCTCACCACTAAATGAGCCTGGAAGCAATAACCCCCGGGGTTGTTGCCCTAACTCCAGGGGAGCCAGAAAGTAAAGCAGTGCTCAAAGGATCCCAGGGAGTATCAGAGGAGCTTCCCAGAGCTCCAGAAAGGGCTCCAAAGAGCAGATTTGGGAAACTTGGAGCACAAAATTAATAATGGAAGTAATACATTTAGCCCATTGGATAAAATAAAAATCTATTAGTCAGTGCTGATAAAAAATATTTTATAAAAAATATTTTAAAAGAGAAGTGAGATAGGAGAACTGGTGGAGTGGCTCAAGTGGTAGAGCGCCTGCCTAGCAAGCATGAGGCCCTGAGTTCAAGGCCTGGTACTACCAGAAAAAAAAAAGAAAGAAAGAGAAGTGATACAGGAAAATTCTTCTAAAAAGAAGACCACTGGGAGCCTGGTATGGTGACACACTCCTGTTATCACAGCACTCGGGAGGTTGAGGCAGGAAGACCAAGAGTTTGAGGCCAGCCTGAGGTACACATCAAAACTCTGTCTCAAAAAACCCCCAAAACAAAAATACATCCCCACCAGGGCTGAGGATGTAGCTCAGTGGGACCCTATGGTTGTGTAGCATGCACATGGTTCTAGGTTCTACCCCAGCATCCCACGTGGGGAATGAAAGACCACCAACTAAAACCAAAAACAAAAGTCACCATTTTACAACTACCATTGTAATGGCTAGTGAATAGGTGAAAAAGTCATCTCCATGATGCTATAGAGCGAAGGAGTTTTAGGAAGAACTTGTGCAGAGATCTGGAGATCTCAGCTAACCCAGTGATCAAGGCTGGCATCACCATTACTAGGACAGACCGACCTCGGGTGCTTCTGGGGGCACAGAGGCAGGAAGTACTCCAGGGTACCAGTTTATATCTGGGCCTCATCAACAGGAAACCGAGACTGTCTGCAAATGTCTTGCCTGAGGACTTTGAAGATGTCAGTGCTATGAAGGACAAAAGCAAGAATATGACAAAACAAAAGCTGAGAAGGCTAGCAGGTGACCACTAAGGAGATAAAGCAATAAATGTAGCAAGTAACTCTTGATTCACTTTTAAAATTTTTTTATTTATTTGTTTGTTTTGAGTGGCACTGGGGTTTGAACTCCGGGCTTCGAGCTTGCAAAGAAGGCGCTCTAACACTTGAGCCACACCTCCGGTCCATTTTACTTTTTTAAACATTTTTATTAGTATATGTTAATTGTAAAGGGAGTTCCATTGTGACATTTACATATGTGCTTACAAAGTATCTTAGATTCACCCCCTCTGTGTTCTCCCTTTTAGAACAATTTCAACAGGTTTCATTCTTCTATTTTCATATGAGTATACAGAATACATCTACCATATTCACCCATCTTCACCCTCTCCTGTTTCCTACCCCTACCACTGGTGTCCACCTCTGACTGGACGTGTTTCACTTTCCCTGCCCTTCATTGTTTAACGTGTAAATCGATTGTTAAATGGAGTTGTGTCATGGCATGTCACACATACATTGAACTTTAATCAGTAACACCTCTGTTACTCACTCTTTCTCTGCCATCTTGTTCCCCTATTAGTCAACGGCTTTCATTCTCTAAAAACAAGCAATCTGCTGGACATGGTGACACAGCTGTAATCCCACAGACTCAGGATGTAAAGACAAGAGGATCACAGTCTGGACAAAGTTAGCAAGACCCTGGAGGTGGTGGGCCTGGGGTTTAATCCCCAGTACAGGAAAAAAAAGCACAAACAAAAAATGATATTATAGTTAGTGTAATAATGAAGGAAATTCGAGCTATGGCATGTGTGTATCTAATGAGCACAGTGATGAGATGTTAAGTTTCTGGAGTGTGAGGGTGGTGGTGTGGTTATATAAGAGGGGATCCTGCTGGAGTCACATGGGTGACATGTCACACTGAGTAAGGAACAAGAGTGAGTGTGGCATAATGTTAGTGGTCAGTAAGTCTGCATGTGCAGTGTGCTGTTTGTGAAACATTCCTATAGGTTTGAAGTTTTTCAAAATAAAGGTGCTATGGGGAAAGGCCGGTGTGAGGATCCAGTGTTAGAGTGCTTGCTTAGTATGCTCAAGGCTCAGGGTTTGATCCCCAGCACTGAAAACAAACAAACAAACAAACAAACAAACAAAAAGCTGGTGCCGTGGCTCACGCCTGTAATCCTAGCTACTCAGGAGGCAGAGATCAGGAGGATGGCAGTTCAAAGCCAGCCTGGGAAAATAGTTTGCAAGACCCTCAAAAAAAATCCATCACAAAAAAGGACTGGTGAAGTGACTCAAGTGATAAGAGCACCTGCCAGCAAGTGTGAAGCCTTGCGTTCCAACCCTAGCACTGCCAAAAAAAAAAAGCTATTGCTAAAATAAGCGTATCTTCCTCCCTTTTCTTATCCAGCTTCTAGATCAAAGTGCTAACTTCTAAGAATTATAAGGCCCAAGGGTAAAGCTCAGTGATAGAGCACTTGCCAAGCAACTATCTTTTTGTGTGGCGGTACTGGGGTTTGAACTCAGAGCCTTATGGTGGTACTGGGGTTTGAGCTCAGAGCCTTGTGCTTACGAGGCAGGTGCTCTACCACTTAAGCCATGCTCCCAGTCCTTGCCTAGCATTCTTAAAGCTTTAGGTTCCATTGCCAGCATTGAAAAAAAAAGTTTTGGGGTGAAAATTCTGTGCTCCACCTTCTCTGGGCCTGTTTCCCCTCATGTAAAATGGAGCCACGGTTCATAGCCTGTCAGCTGTAACCTGCGGAGTGGGGTCAGAAGCTTACCTTGGATACAGAAAATGCCCCACAGATAGGAGCTCCTGAGCAAGGGTGGGGCTTTCCTCCAAGAATTTTTATGGGCTGACATTTCAGGTTCAAGATTGTTTATGAGCGCAGCCTTGGTTGGAGTCACTCCTGAGAGGGGTGAGGCCCGGAAACATGGTCTTCTCCAAGATGCTCCTGTTTCGTATGAGAAAAACAAACACAAAGTCTTCTCAGCTTTTGATTTGCCCAAATATGCAGAGAATGTTTGGGGGGAAAATGTTAAAACAATAACTTGTAAGGCCTCAAAAATGTTCTGAAAAAAACCCCAGAACATAGCAAGCCTCCACTTCAAAGCTTGCTGAGTTTTGCAGGGCGTGTCCTGAAGAGGCGAGACTCCCAGGAGAAATGACTCTGAGGCAAGGACCAAGGCTGCTGTCAGCGGACAGAAAGCTGGGGTAAAGAAAGGACCATGGCTGGGCCATGGCTCCATGGGAGAGGGCTTGCCTACAAGGCACGAAGCCATGGGTTCCATCCCCAGCACCGGAAAAAGTAATAAAATAAAGTAAAAATAAATTAAATTAAAAAAATTAAAAAGCATACAAACTTCATGCCTGCCAATGTGCCCAGTCCAACCTCCATGTAGACACTCCCAAAAGTTTTCCGAAAAAAAAAATTTAAAACATTTTTCCCTTTGATTAGACAACTTCCAAGGCACCCAGCATCCACCTGACTTTAGTTCCATTTACATATCTGGACCATCAGGCCGCCTTTCTGAACCCTGGCCTGGAAGACAGGACATGCCTGTCAAGAGTCAAGAGCAGGAAGTTTCGTGCTGTGAAAGGTCAAGCAGTGCCCTGCCCTTCACAGGCCTCCAGTGAACTTGAAACATGAGAGTTTATGGGTTGGAAATTCATGACCCTGGAATGTTCTTCAAGCATCAGAGAGACCTGACCCGGTCACTTTCTACGAGGTCTTTCTTTAAAGTCAGAGAAGTGAAAATTCTTGCAGCAGCAAGGCTTGGCTTTTGTTGCTAGAGCTCTGTCCCAGGTGTCCTGGGAGCTTTGAGACTCTGCCACTTTCTAATGATAGGAAACAACAAAATCCAAGTCCCCAGCCCTCAGGCATGAACACATCTTGCTCTTAGTCTGTGGCCCTGATTCTCACGTCCCTGTTTCTCTC